TCTCTCCTTCTACCGCTCTGGTCCTGGACATCAAACTCAAGTCATGAGGCTTAGCAGTAGGTCTGTTACCCACTGAGCCATCTCGCCAGCCCGTCCTTTGTTTTTTACACTCGTCTGGGTGACCCTAAGACACGTTCATGTCTGTGGTGCTGTCTGCAGGTGTCTGTTGGGCAGTCATTCCTCTACAAAGCAGACCGTGAGTCGCAGACACACTGAACCCACTCTTGGCACATCTGAAAGGCAGGCATGGGCAAATTTTCACTCTACTGTTGTATTTTCACAGACCATTCTGCAAAGGTCACCTTTAACGTACAATGAATCCTTCCCTCATAGAGGGGAGTCAGGTGCCCTCCTCTAACCTCTGGGTTACCATAGCGCAAGCAGTCGGGTCTCCCAAAGAGCTTGCCGCACTGAATCTTGGGAACAGATGACAGTGTAGGAGTCAATAGTGCAAGCCAGCCCCCTGCCCACATTTCCCGGTTCCCACTGGAAGTTAAATTTCCCTTCCATCACTAAGGGATCTAACCCTCCTGCCTTTACCTATCAAATGATGAGATTACAGGCCTACATCACCAGCACTAGGAAAGAGCAAAGATTTTTAATTTATTTATTGTGTGTGTAGGAGAGGAGTGGGGGACGGTGGTGGCTGGAGAGATGGCTCAGTGATTAAGATGGCTTGTTCTTCCAGAGGACCCTGGTTCATTTTCCATCACCTACGTGGCAGCTCACAACTGTCTGTAACTCCAGTTCTAGGGGACCTAACACTCTCACACAGACATACATGCAGGCCAAACACCAGTGCACATAAAATAAAAATAAACCATATATATATATATATATATATATATATATATATATATATATATACATAAAAGAAGAGGAGTGGGGGAAATATGTACCATGGCATACATGTAGAAGTCAGAAAAGAACTTACAGGAATGGGTTCTCTCCTTCCATTATGTGGGCCCAGGGTCTGACTCAGCTTGACAGGCTTGGCAGCATGCCTTTTCCCAGTGAGCCATCTTGCTCACCCAAGAATGGGATTTTTTGTTTGTTTGTTTTTTGGTTTTTCGAGACAGGGTTTCTCTGTGTAGCTTTGCGCCTTTCCTGGAAATCACTCTGTAGCCCAGGACTGGCCTCGAACTCACAGAGATCCGCCTGCCTCTGCCTCCCGAGTGCTGGGATTAAAGGCGTGCGCCACCACTGCCTGGCCAAACCAAGAATGGGGTTTTTTAAACTTTAAATTCCAGGCCCACAAGATGGCTCAGAGGGTAAAGGCTCTTGCCCTACAAGCCTGACCATCTGAGCTGGAGTCCCAGAGCCCATGACAGAAGCTGAGAACCAACTCCTGAGAGCTGTCCTCCAAACTCCACGGGAATACCACGGCGGGCACCCCACCTTACGCCCTACCACAGACACACACACTCTAGATTCCCGCGGGAGTGCTTGTTGAGCGGACACAGGTCTCTGGGATGCTGAACGATTCTGCCGTGGCTGTTGGTGGTGACCGCACAGCTCCGTGCCACTCAACCATGCACATCGCCATGGTTACAGTGGGCAAGTTTGTGCTACACACACTTCACTATGGTGATTCAAATATCTGCCTGTCTGGCACTCAATTAGTGCCATGGAATGATAGCTTGCTCTTATTTCCTCAATGTTTAGTTCTTTCTTTTTCCTTCTTCATTTTATATTCTTTTCAATAGCTAATCCGCCTTTGCTTAGAAACATTGTTTAGATTTTGTTTATTTACTTTATGTGCGTCTGTATATGACTCTGCCTGAGTGCATGTCTGTGAACCACGTGCATGCAGGAGTTTGCAGAGGTAAAAAAAAAAAAAAAAAGAGGACACTGGATCCCTTGGAACTGGAGTTACAGATAGTTGTGCGCCGCCACGTGCTGAGAAGGGCACATGGATCCCCTGCCGGAGCCGGAAGTGCTCCTACCCTCAGAGCTCTCTCTCCAGCACCCACCCAGCCCCAACTATTATGACAAGACTCCTCTACAAGTTGTGATCAATAGCCAATCAGTTCTCTTTCGGAGAGAATTCAGCACGCTCAATATTTGCATATACTGATACTTTGTGAATATTCTAGCAAATACATGTTTTACTTATTTATGTTTTACCCTGATATTTAGCATGTACCTTACAATATTCTATACTTTGCTTTAAGTTTTCTTCTTTTATTACATTTGCTTTTTTATTGTGTGTGTGTACACATGTGTGCACGTGTGTGTGTGTGTGTGTGTGTGCATGTGTGTGTGGGGGGGGGGGGGGGCTTACTTGTACCATGGCTTGCTTGTGGAAGTCAGAGGACAAGCTGTGGGAGGGAGCTGGTTCTCTTTTTCTAGGGATTGAATTCCAGTTGTCCGGCTTGATAGCATGTGGTTTTATCTGCTGAGCCATCTCATCAGCCCACCTTTGCTCTCTTTATTATTTTTTTTTTTTTCAGGACAGAGTTTCTCTGTATAACCCTGGATCTCTCTCTGTAGACCAGGCTGGCCTCGAACTCACAGAGATCCACGTGTCTCTGCCTCCCGAGTGCTGGGATTAAAGGCGTGTGCCACCACTACCCAGCAGCCCACCCTTTTTCCTTTAATAAGTCTTCAGTGTGGGGTGGGATAGGGTATCAGGTCACATCAGTTGCCCTCCAACTTGCTATATAAATTAAGCTTCTGGTCCTCCCACCTCTACTTCCCAAGCGCTGGGATTACAGATGTACACCACCACACCCAGTTGATGTGGTGCTAAGGATCCAACCCAGGGCTACACACGTGCTAGGCCAGCAATCTGCCAACTGAGGTCATCTCCACACACACACACACCGCCTTTTGTATCTTCACTGCTAATTTAGAACTTCCAAGAACACATTTGTTTGTGACACTCTCTTCTAATAGAGTACTCACAAGAAATTACAGTTACCCCTCTAGATCCGTGTGTTTGGTATACATAGACTGGATCAACTTGCCCCTGGGGTCAAGGGAGATAGCTCAGTAGTTAAGGGAACTTGCTCCTCTTCCAGAGGACCTGGGTTTGGTTCCCAGCACTCCCAGTGGGGAACTAGCTCATAGCTGCCTCTAATACAAGCTCCAGCAGATTCAACACCATCTTCTGGCTCCCACGAAGAGCCGCACACATGATACACACACACACACACACACACACACACAGAGAGAGAGAGAGAGAGAGAGAGAGAGAGAGAGAGAGAGATAAATAAGTATAAATCTTTAGAAAATTGGACCTGTATTGAACCTGTGCAGACAACGCCCTTTCATTATTCTATACAGTATGCAACTCTGCACATCATGTAAATAGTATTAAATAGAAATGCTCTGGATATGGCAACATTCAGGGTGGATGGGTGTCGTAGTAGGTAGGTACTGCGCCATCTCATGTAAGAGATCTGAGCGTTCTTGGATGTGGATATCTATGGTGATCTTAGAACCAGTTCCTGTGGATACCAATGAATGACTGCAAGAGTTACAGCTGTGAAGGAAAATATCCTGGATACCTACAGCTGTGAGGAGGAAGGTATCCTGATTTGTGGGGAAGTCAGGCTATACCTGAAGCTAGGGTGTGGTGGGGATGGTCTCCCTGCAGGATGTAGCAATCCTGCTCCTCTCCAAGAGAGACCTGTTACAGCTGAGCTCTGCTCCACCTGCCTAAGGGAGTTTCCCGGCAGAGGTATCTGCTCTGTTCCCCCAAGGGAACATCCCAGCACAGGTATCTGCTTCTCAACTCTGGCCCAAGATGTAACTTCTGCTTCACTCTGCTAAAGGGGAAACCCCTGCAGAAATGTAGCAATCTCCTCTGGCTCCAGTGACAAGTTGTTACTTCTTATTCTTCTTGCTCAGCACCCCCTAAGGGAATGTCTGAGCAAAGATTCTGCTACCGGCTGGCAAAGGAAGATCTTCATCCAAAACTCTTTTAAGAAAGAGATTTACAGCTGGGCAGTGGTGGGACGTGCCTTTAATCCCAGCACTCAGGAGGCAGAGCCAGGTGGATCTCTGTGAGTTCGAGGCCAGCCTGGTCTACAGAGCAAGATCCAGGACAGGCACCAAAGCTACATAGAGAAACCCTGTCTCAAAAAACCAAAAAAAAAAAAAAGAGATTGATTTGGGAAGGAGAAATCCTGGAAAGTGGCTGCCTCTGCCAGGGTGGAGAAGGACAGACGGCCCACAGGCAGAGGTGCTTATATGGGACTTCTTAGGGGCAGAGGTTTTCCAAGGAGAAGATTTCTTCTCAGGGATTGGTTGGTTTTCCTGCTCAGGAATTGTTTGGTTTAGTGTTCAGTTGGTCAAGGAACAGGGTTGGCTCTGGTTTCAGGGCCAACTGTATTTCTTTCACTAGCTCTGGTTCCAAGACCAAAGTGTGTTTCTTTGGCTCTGGTTTTAGGGCCAGGGTGGGTTTCTTTGGCTGGCCCTTTTACCTTACAGTGGCTATGCTTGTAAGTCTGTGGAGGGATTGTAGATGTTTGTCAACTTTGGAAGTAAGTAAAGCTGCAGTTTATTAAAATCAGCAGAGTTGGGGGCTGGAGAGATGGCTCCGTGGTTAAGAGCATTTTGTGGAGGATCAGGGTTCAGTTCCAGCACAGACATAGTGGCTCACAACTGCCTGTAACTCCAGTTTCAGAGGATCTATCGCCCTCTTCTGGCCTCCCCAGGCACTTGCACACATGTGGTGCACATGCGCGTGCACACACACAGTTTTTAGAAAATCTTAGCAAACTCAGAGAGCATGCTAATAATGTCGTAATTGCTGATATCAAATACACAAATATGAATCAGTGAGGTTATAAATCACAGAACATTTCCATCATATCACAGATGCCTGAGATGAACGCACACTTGTTTCTCAAGTGAGGCCATGGAAAAGGATCAACTCTGTTTGCTTGATGATTTCTTCAGGTGGATGATGCTGAAGAGCCCGAGAAAACGGGGGAGAATAAGGCGCCCAGTAAGTTCCAGTCCGTGGGAGTCCAAGTGGAGGAAGAGAAGTGGTGAGTCCACAGCTTTTGTCCTTCCTGTCTGGAGGTCGGCCAGGGTGGTAACGTGCTCATCCCATGACGAACCTGCACTTCCTTCCACTAAGTTAGGGAGTGCTTACAAAGTGTCAGTCAACGCTAGCTGTTCCTCTCCTGTGCTGTGATCCCGGGGAGCACACCGTTTGAGCTTTGGTCACAACCGTAGCTGAAGAGTGTCACGTTCACATGAACCCTGGATGCAGTTATGGGACTGCCAAAGGCCCCTCCAGAAAACTTTGTAGCCATTTTATATGAGTTTTATTTATTATTATTGTTGTTGTTGTTGTTATTATTATTATTATTATTATTATTATTATTATTATTATTATTATGTGTAGCTGAAGTTTTCTCCAGTCCTGCCTGGCCGACAGTCAGGACAAATCTCTCTCACCCGCCAGCCCTGCAGCTGCTCAGACCCAACCGAGTAAACACACAGAGACTTATATTACTTATAAACTGTATCTCCAGCTCCAGCCAAGCCTGGCAGTCCTGTAGTCCACTTATAAAATATACACACAGATTCTTATATTATTTAAACTGTTTGGCCTAGTGGCTCAGTCTTCTAGCTATCTAGTTCTTCTATCTTAATTTAACCCATTTCCATAAATCTATACCTTGCCACATGGCTCGTGGCTTACCTGTATCTTACATGTTGGTACTCATGGTGGTGGCTGGCAGCATCTCTCTGTCTCAGCCTTCCAGGTTCCCAGAATTCTCTTCTCTGCTTGTCCCGCCTATACTTCCTGCCTGGCTACTGGCCAATCAGCATTTTATTTATACGGAGCCATATCCACAGCAATTACGTTGTTGTTGTTGCTAAGACAGAGTTGTACTGTGTATCCCTGGCTGACCTGGAACTCTAAACGAAGCTGGCCTCCAATGCACAAAGTTTGGTCTGTCTCTGTCTTCTGAATGCTGGGATTAAAGGTGTGTACCACCATGCCCAGCCATGTGATTTTATTTTAATTGTGTATTTGTCTGTGTGTGGGTATGTGCTTGGGAGTACAGGTACACTTACACACACACACACACAAATAAACATTACAAAAATGTTTTTAAAGTACACATGGCCCAGCTTTATATCACTGATATTTAAAGCAAACTTACTGTAGAATCTTAGTGTCCAGAAAGTGGGAAATTTAGAGTTTTATAATATCACAAAATCCCATTGCTGGAACAGACTACCAATGTCAGTATTTTCATTTTATAAATGAGATTCTATGCTGGGCGGTGGTGGCGCACATCTTTAATCCCAGCACTCAGGAGGCAGAGCCAGGAGGATCTCTGTGAGTTTGAGGCCAGCCTGGTCTACAGAGTAAATTCCAGGAAAGGCTCCAAACTACACAAAGAAACCCTGTCTCGAAAACAAACAAGCAAACAAAAAGATTCTACCCTGGTCTACAGAGTGGAGTTCCAGGACAGCCAGGACTGTTACACAGAGAAACCCTGTCTCAAAAATAAATAAATAAACAAACTAATTAATTAATTAATTAAACGAGATTCTATGATCCCATGGGCTCAGATGTCTTGTTGCCACAGAGCTACTAAGATTACAGAATATGGGGGACCCAGTTTTGGTTTTCAGAACCCACAACCCTTGGCCCATTACCTGAAACTACAGCTCTGGGAGAGCCGACCCATCTGGGCTCTGAGTGTAGGTGTGTGCTGTCTCTCGAGCATACACACACACACACACACACACACACACACACACACACACAAAGTTAAAAAATAATCAAGTTTTAAACAATAGAGCTACGCCCTTCTGTTACATGAAATCTAATAGGTCTTATAATAAAAAAAAAAAAAACACCCAAGCCAGATATTGGGGTAAATGCTGAAAGATCAGAGAGACGAAGGAACAAGCCACAGCCACTTCTTATCTCACCAACTCCTTAGCCGTTCTCCATGAATCCTCTGACTGAAAGCCTCTGAGTCCTCAGTTGAAAGGACTTCTAGCTGAAAAGCCTTTAGTTCCTGTCTCCTCTCGTTTTTTATACCTTTCTCCACCCAGCAATATCACTTCCTTCCTAGTGCTGGGATTAAAGGCATGTGACTCCCAAGTACTGGGATTAGAGGTGTGTGCCACCACTGCCTGGCTCTGTTTCTCTCCTAGACTGAGTCAATCTCCAAAACACAAGCAAGGAGACAGAAAGGCTGAGAACACACAGCAGACTATCTGACCACAGCAGGGCACCTACAAAGCATAATATGTACACAGGGGAACACCAGGAGAAGGGGGCAGAAAGAGGGGAGCAGAAATGGCATTGGAAGCAAGAACAACTAAGAAATTGTCCCAAAGTGATGTCAGACATCAAACTACAGATTCAATAATTGCCAAGAATGCCAGACAAGAGATGGAATTAAGTGTTTAAGGTGGGAGAGAAACCACCACCAACTCGGACTTCTGTACTCTATGAAATCATCTCATAAAGTTAAGGCAGGCCATTTGGCACAGGCCAATAATAATCCCAGCTACCTGGAGGTCTGATTCATGTGGATGGCAAGTTAAAGGCCTACCTGGAGGTCTGATTCATGTGGATGGCAAGTTAAAGGCCTACCTGGGCTACCGGGTAAGTTCAAGGCCAATGTAAACAAGTTTGAGGGAACTTGTATCCTGATGGTCTGGACCTTTAATTCCAGCGTTCAGGAGCTAGAGACAGCTAGATCTCTATGAGTTGAGGCCAGCCCTATCTACCTACAACATAGGGAGTTCTAAGCCAGCCAAGGTTAGATAGTGAGACCCTTCCAAATAAATAAATGATGGCTCAGGGGTTAAGGGCACTTGTTGCTCTTACAGAGGACTCAGGTTCAGTGCCTAGCACCCACATGGCAACTCACAAGTCTCTGTAATTCCAATTCTAGATCCATCACCTTTTCTGACCCCCACGGGTACTACACACATGGTGCACAGACATACATGTGAGCAAATAAAATAAATAAATCTAAAAAAAAAGTTAAATAAAGAGGGAGAAAGAGCCACCCTCTAAGACTCGTAGAAAGAATGCAGGAGCAGCTGTGTTAAGTTAAAACAGCAACAACAGATCAATGAATGTTACCAGGATAAAGAGAGGCTTCACCTAGGGCCTGGAGGGATGAAATGGCTCCAAGTGAGGAGTGTGAACTGCTCTTGCAGAGGAACTGGGTTTCATTTGTAGCTCCCACATTACGTAAATTTTAGAAATTTTCTACTATCTTTTCCACGATATAGAGGCATCACGAGTGTTCCCAAACTCATCCCACAAGATCAGCAAGCTCTTGCTCTCCAAATCCAAAACATAAGAAAACTTCAAATAAATATTTCTCATGAACATAGACATACAAATCTCCAACAAAATATTAGGAAATTGCCGGGCAGCGGTGGCGCATGCGCACGCCTTTAATCCTAACAGTCAGGAGGCAGAGGCAGTCGAATCTCTTGAGTTTGAGGCCAGCCTGTTCTGCAGAGTTAGTTCCAGGACAGCCAGGGCTACACAGAGAAACCTTATCTCAAAAACAAACAAACAAACAAACAAACAAACAAACAAAAATATATGTCTATATATGTGTGTATATGTATATATGTGTGTATACGTATATATGTGTGTATGTATATGTGTATATGTATATATATATATGTATATATAATTAGGAAATTGAATCAAACAATGTGTAAATGAACTTTACCTCAGGATCAGTTGCACCAAATATAACATTCTGGTGGAAGATTTTGAGAGGGGTGTTCTAGTGGGTAGCTGCTCCAGCTTTGGCCTCAAAGCCCTGCCCCTAGTGTGGCAAGAAGTAACTGCCACACCTGCCTATGACCTGCCCCTGGGGCGTGGCTGAGACAGGTCCCTTTAAGACGTGAGATGCATAATGCTTGCCCCTTTTCGCTACCTTTTGGTCTTGCATGTTGGTGCAGATCAGGACAGAGCTCTCTAGAGAACAGCGCTGGACCGTGCCTTAATCCCTATTTCCTGTATTGTGAGTTTCCTGTATTGTGAGTTAACCCCCCCAATAAATTCCTATAATCATTAAGGTATTTCTGTGGATTGGTAGCGATTTAATCGCAACAGGGTGCTGTATATTTAAATGAAGAGGGGGTTCATGGAACTCTACATTTTATGGAATTTTACGATGAAATCCAAGCCATTCCCCCCAAACTTACACCTGCTGATTGTGAAAGAGAGGATGGATGGTAATATTGACATCAGGGGTTGTCCCGGGGTGCGTCGTTTGTCAGGTGAAAACATTCAGAGCAGTGCCTGGCATGTAGAATGCTCTCCTCGCTTTTGCTAGTATAGTGCCACATAGAATAGCTGTAAAGACTCCAGCTGTAAGGGAGCAGGGCTGGTGAGATAGCTTGGTACATAAAGTCACTCAGCACCTAGCCTGCGGTCACGATCGAAAGAAATAGCTGACTCCAAACGTGGTCCTCTGACCTCCACATGGGACACACATGCACACAGGAATACAAAACTTAAAAAAAAAAAAAAAAAAAGCAATAGTATAACCTTTTCTTCCAAAACAAGAGAAAGGGCCTGGAGAGAAGGCTCAGACCTAAAGAGCACCCCGGTTGTTCTTCAGAAGGACCCGGGGTCAATTGCCAGCATCTACATGGCAGCTCACAATTGTCTGTGACTCCATTTCCAGGGGGATCTGATGCCCTACTCTGGCCTTCCTGGGCACCAGGGACACACATGGTACACAGACATCCGTGCAGGCCAAACACCCATACACATAAAATAAAATAGTAATTTAAAAAGAAAAGGTCCCCAAGTAGGTGGTGGTGCTTGTTTTGAGCCCTACACTTCAGAGGCAGAAGCAGGCGGATCTCTCTGTGAGTTCAAGGCTAGCCTGGTCTACAGAGTGAGTTCCAGGACAGCCAGGACTGTTACACAGAGAAACCCTGTCTTGAAAAACAAAGAAAGAAATAGAAAGAGAGAAGATCATCTCAATCTTACATTTTTCTTCAAAACTTCCCCCATAGTCAAGCA